GAGGCGCGCCCCGTGGCGTGCGCCTGCAGGAGGCGGCCAATTTCCCGCAGCCCCTCCGACAGCGTTGCCGCCGGCGGGCCTCGCTGCGGCGAGGAGGGCGCCGAAGCTGCCGCACCGCCCCTCCGAGGATCCCAATTGCAGGGCGCCGAGGAAACCGCCCGCTCCAGTTCGACGATGCGTCGATGCAGGTGCCGAATGAGAAGGCGCTGCGTGCGCACGTGGGCCACCAGCTCCTCTCGAGTGGCAGTGCGCAGTTTGTCCTCCATCCTCCGCCTCCTCCCAACACGCTTGTGTGTCGCAGCCCTTTCCCTCCGCGCGGCGTTGCCCCAGCCAGCGCCTCGGCAAGCCCACGAACGCGTGCGCACCGAGGACGAGCACACAGCCCCTCCACCGCCCCGCTCTCACACGCACAACAGGGAGCAAAAACAGAGTGGGGGTGGGTGGTCAAGAGAAAGTGAGGGAGGCAGGGTAACAAACGCACGCGGAAAATCTACCCTGCGTGTCTATGGAGAATAAAAAGTTCGGCGATGAACGCAGCCACACTCACACACACACACAAAAAAAGCACACATAAAGAAATATACGTGTCTTCAGTAAAAAAGAGACAAGAAATATGGGGTGCATCCTTATCTTTTTTTACAATCGCATTTCCCGATTATCGGCACGGCCGGTCTGTCTCGGACTCTTCCTACGAAGCGGTCATTGTTATTGTTATGAAACTTCTCGAGTGAGGTCACAAAGTCATCACCATCCAGCAGCTTCCGTCTTTCTCTGCTTCACCAGTTGGGCCACAGCGGCACCATCCGCTACGAGCTCCCTCTTTCGCTGCGCTAGTAGGTTCTTGCGTTCCCGCCGAACAATAGGCGCTCGAGTGTTCTCTGGTACAACTTCGGAAGGCGTCACAACGACGTCCTCAATCTCTTCGACGTGCTTCGTCGTCGGATTACTAGGTGCCCTGCTTTGCGTACTCGTGGCCCCCGCGGCCTCACACCACTCACGCCCGCTCTCTCCAGCCACATCCCCGGGTTGAATGGAGGAGAACAACGTGCCGTCCACGACCTCCAGATGTGGCATCTTCCGCGCGAGAAACCTCATGACTTCAGGTGGCACGCATACCCCGTTGCTCAGCTTCCCATTCTCCGCCTGTGCTGATGGTGCTGCCTCCCTCAAAAACGGATTACCGCGTATGCTTAACTGGCGCACAAAACGGCACCGTCGCAGCGTTGCGACTTCCGTGAGAGCGTTATGACTGACGTCGAGGATCTTCACTGAGCGAAAAATGACTCCTTCTGGAACAAGACTGGGTAGCGCATTATGGCTCAGCCTCAGCTCGGTAACCATGGGAAGAAACCAGTGGGAAGGCAAGGAGCCCAGTCCGCACCCACTGAGCGAGAGTTTCTTTAACTGTGTCATCTTCTCAAGGACAGAGAGTGGGTGTGACCAGTCCGCCTCATGGTGTGGTACTTTTCTCTTGATATTATTCCCGATGTCTCCCGCTATAGAATCCTCCCTATCTGGACCAGGCGCAGCATAAAAGGCGCAGAGTTGTGGGTTGCGGGAGAGCACAATCGTCTCACAGGCGGAAAGCATTGCCATTGTTTCGTAGTTTCTCACGGCCCTTGCGACGCTGGCTGCCTGAGCATTTGCCACGGTTCCTCCGCTGGGAGATTGCAACACTAAGTTGTTGTCGTTTGCTATGAGGGTCTTTAACGTCGCTGCGCTTCCTTCCAGGCCAACCAATGAGCTTAGACCGCAATGAGCTACGACGCATACGGTGAGGTGCAGCGTGGCAAGAGGCGCAACAGACGACAGACGTTTGTTCTTTGCGAGGTTGAGGGAGCTGAGGTGGGACAGTGAGGCCAGCGGCGCGACGTCGTGGATGTCGTTTTCCGACAGATCCAGTCGCCGAACTTCGTGCAGCAACCCACCCAAGTTAGGGGGAAGAGCGGTGAGCTGCTTGCCCTTGAGGATGATTTGTCGCACCTTTTCAATGTCAACGTCCAGCGGGATCATGTCAACAAATCGCTTCAGCGACGCCGAGGAGGAGGGTGCACATGTCAGTGCCTTTTTGGTCTGACTCGTTCCAGCAGGGGTGCGGCTCATGTTGCAGTCGCTGACAGCTTCCCTCCCTTGTTCCGGAATCACCCTTTCCCTTCCTTCCTGTCCGCGTGTTTCCACCGCCGGTGTATCTTCCGCAGAAGGAGCGTAAATATATAAATAAATATATTTACTTATTTATTAGAGAAGAAAGCGGGGCGGGATGCGCGTCAATGAAGAGAGAGATGGAAAGAGGGAAAGTGTGTGTGTGTGTGTGTGTGTGTGCAATTCACAATAAACAGCGAACGGCAAGCGGCACGGAAAGGGCAGCAATGGAGCAGGCTGAGCCCTCCCACTATAATTTCATGCCACTGCCGTTGGCAGCACTACATTGGCGACTAGAGGACAAGCGATCGGCCGTCGTGGACGGGTGTCCGCACCTTCTCTGGGTGCTTCAGCTGGTCATAGCACGTCACTGTCAGAATAATTCCCAACGCCAACACGTACGCGTGGTACCGCTTGAGTGTCTCAAGCACAATATGACCCGTGCGCAGGTACTTTTCATTGGGATTGCGGCTTTTGATGTACTTGCTCATGCGGTGAAACGCCTCCTGTGAGAATGACCGTGCCAACCGGGTGGTACGAAGCATTGGAGTTTTCTCCACCTTCCGTTCCCCGTTCCTCCACTTTTTTTAAACAAAAACAAAGAAAAAAAGACTCACACACAAGAAGGCGGGGTGCGTTGAATGCGCTTAAAAGAAAGAAAGGGAAAGCGAGGGATGTGGGAGACGCGTGTAAAAAAAGAAAAGAAAAAAAAGAAAGAAAAAAGACGGGAAAATAGACCCTAGATAATAGCAAATAGGCAGCAGTAAATGATAGCACGTGCAAACCCAAACACATACACACAAACAGGGAGAGAGAGAGAGAAAGAATGATAGAAAGAGAGCTGCCACCACATGCATACCGATTGCAAATGTAAACACAACAACAGATACAAGTAAATGGCAAACAAATTGATGCTTATTTTACACCATCCTTCCTGTTCCTCACTTCGTTGGGGTGCGTTCGTGCGGCAGTGTGTCCTGCTCTATGCATTTCAGCTCCCTGTGTAAAGTACTTCCTCACCCCCTATAACCCACCCAGACTTTTTTTTCTTTTGTTTTTTTTTTCCCATGCCCTCTACTTCTTTCACGTTGATTTTGTTGCTCCTTCAATCTTTGCTGTGGGGAAACCGCACTTCTGCTGCAGAAGTTCCCCCAACACGGCCAAAATGCCGCGTAACTTAACATGGCGTGACCTCTTTGTGGGGGCGGAGTGGATTCTACAAAAAAGAGTACTGTGAATGGAGGAGACAACTTATTTGGCCCCTGCGTTTTTTTTTACTTTTTTGGATTGGCCCTCGTGCCTCGCCCCCGGCCACGCCTTCCACACTGGCCCACTTTAGTCGCACGTGAGAGGCATTGCATGTCGGCTGCCGCTATGGGGGCATTTTGCCCCCACGCCCTCCCACTCTCCTCAGATCACAAGTGTGACGTCCGGGTCCGCGCTATTCTCAGCGTGGATGCTGCCGCTGCCGCTGCCGCTGCTGCTGCTGCTGTGCCGGTTACCGAAGAGAACGACGCGTCTGGCAACGACGACACAGTCCCCCCTCGCCGCCGCCACTGAGAGCTGTCCGAGGTATTCATTGATGTAGCCCACCCCCACCTCGTTAATTCCGCAGCGTGAGAGGTCCAACACGGGCAACACCCTCCGCTCATAATGGGGTGCTATAAAGCATCGAAGTATCTCTGCCAAACCACGGTTGCCTATGCTCGGGTTGTCGCACAGACTCAGTACTTCTAACGACGGAAACAGCGGGGCGTGTGGCGCATCACGAAATGGCATGTACGCCTCCGTTGGGAACCCAGCTGCTTCTCCTGCGATGCACAACGATGGTGTTTGTCGGTCGGCGAGAGTTGCATCCACGGGGAACAAGTAGAAAAAAATTCCATAAACACTGCAGTGGTCGAGATTCATGCTGTTAAGGTACAAATTTTTCAAGAGTGGAAAAACATTCTGACTTTCATTCGCCGCCCCCATCACAGCGAGCATGTTTCCAAATCCGTCGTCGGTGAAGTAGTTACCATCCAGCCGAAGTGCAGTCACCCAGCGGAGCTCGCCCAGGTAGGGACTGGCAAAAAGTCTTCCAAGAACGTACGGAGCTGCACGCTCCATGTAGCACCAACTCAGGTCCAACTCGACCTGGCTCTTGTTTGCATCATATTGCCGCGTGAGCCGATTTGGAATATCTTGTAGTCTGGCACGGGAGCTGTTATCCTTCGTGACACGTAGCTTTTCCACCTGCTCGTACCACCACTCCCATGTGCCTTCTCCTTTTGGAACTACGCGTGTGGGCTCGACCCGAAACAATTGCGGGGTACTGGAGGTGCTACTACCGGATGACAAGATGTAATCGTCCTCTGCGCAATAGCTGTCGACCTCATTCGCCAGAAAAGGAATGAGCTGCATATTATCCGGGGCCTCTTTCCCACCACGCGACGGTTCATGCGGGGAAAGCGACTTACCCTTGCCTTGGCGCGCCGACACAGGAGAGCGCGTCCTGTTCTCTGAAGACGATGACTGAGGAAGCGACGATGCATGGCTCGTCTCGCCCTGGGAAGGTCCGGGGCTCTCCGCGTCCACAAACTTGTCCCCTGGTTTTAGCGCCTTGGTCTCCCCCTTCGCGTTCGCAGCGGCGGAACGCAGCGAGCTTTCTCTACACCCCATGAGGCTCCTGGCTGATGGGTGACACCACCCGGCTGAAGTAATTGGGAAGTATACGAAGGGGTGATTGGAGGGAGAGTCGCACTCCTCGTCCCCAGCGGCAGCAGCAGCAGCAATAAGAGAAGGATACAACACGAGTAAGATGAGAGGCGACCACAACGGCGCGAGTGAGGGGGGAGGAAAATAAAGGCGACGTGATGAATTAAGAGAGAGAGGAAGGGGGATGAAGGACGACAGACACATATGTGGGAGGAAGAAGAGAAACTAGGTCGCATACCAACAAAATCCACACGCGCAACAAAACAGGACAAAACAAAAAATGCTTCCGTCTGCGGACAGACAAAATGCAGAGGAGATCCTCTAACTGCACTCGCTCAGCGTTGTTGTTGTTGTTTAATCCTTGGTGCGTGGACTGCGCTCCGCAGATTCCCCGGCGAGTTACTGTGAAATGAAGCAAGGCAGTGAACTCTGCTCCATTACAGGGTTCAGGCATGCGTCACCGTCCACGCCGCAGCCGTGGCGAATGCAGAGAAACAAGTGCTCCTTGGGATGCGTGGTGGTGGGGGCGAAAGCGTTGTTGGGGCTGGGAAGCCCCGTTGAAGCGATTGAGGAATCGGCGTCATACCTAAACGCCTCACGACGATTTCGCTTTCCGTCACAGCGATCACACAAGTCATACTGATAACACATTGCACACTTCCATCGCACTCCACTTATTAGGTGCGAACAAACGTTGCAGTAGACCCCAATGTGAGTCTCTTTCACGTTTGACAGGAGTGTTCCACAAAAAAGAGCCAACGGCGACACATTCGATGGACCCCAGAGAAGGGACAAGTTTGTCTTCGCGCAGGCAGGAATGCGGAGTAACACATGATTCTGTGGATGCTTTCCAGCCGCAAAACAGCCCCTACATACCACCCCCCCACTTTGATCACAATGAAGGCAGCGAAAGTGATGTTCCTTATCAATAAAAACTTCTCGCAGACACTCACTACATGTAATATTACGTTCTGATCCAATAATATACCGAGTTGGCGTTTGAGGATTCAGCTCAACAACTATAGGACTAGAAGGCTTCATAATCTTTACATCAAAGAAGAAATTCCGAACTCGAGAAAGGACACAAATCCCCTCCTTTAATTTCAGTAGATCGGGCGTTGAAATGATTCCAGACATGGACACAAAAGAAGATACTTCAGGTTTCGGGCAAATTGTCGCCAGCGCTGCGGAGGCGTGGTCCATTTGGTAGGTGCGATCCACACGGGCAATAAATTTTAACGGCGCATCACTGGAGGCCAAAAAGCGGCGAATAACACGCATAACATTTTTTCGCTCGTTTTTTTCAATGGAATGCCAATCGCTAATTTCAACACTTTTCTCAGTAGCCTCCTCAATTTTGTTCTTCATGTCCGCCTCTGAAATTATATCGTCTTCGGTACGGGATGTAGTGTAACATATACGAGGAAAACCCCCATCACCGAATGCCCTCGTTTTTTTATCAGGCAGCTGGGTCGCCACAAAAAAAGGAAGTGCGGCGATATTGAGTTCCGTAGCCAAGTCACTTTGAAGACCCTCAGGCCCACACCACAATGGTATCAACGGAACTTCTGGACTCCTCCACCCGGAGACTTCAGCGACGAGACCACTGAGAGCCTTAAAAGCAGCAGACTTTTCACGGTCTACACTAATTAACACAAGCTGAGCGCGTTTTAAGTACCTCTTTACTCTCCTTCGTTTATTTACTAGGATGCGTCCAGGCACCTGAACAAAATGCTGCACAGTTTCTAGCCAAGGATCATCCTTCAGATACAAACCCGATGTCGATGCATTCTTCGCTTTCGAAGTCTTTGCGACGTTGAAAAGATGTCCCCGCAGCCAGTCTATTGACGTCGTGTCCCAGCTAGCCCACAGCACAATGAGGGTAGGTACAGTGGCGATCACAGTAGAAAGATTGACTCTTTCTTCGCTAAATGCAGTATGATACAACTCAAGAGGGGCATTTTGCTCTTCCTGTTCCAACTCAAGCAGATCTCGAAATGAGTTATAAAAAGACGCTTCATTTACGAGGCTAATTCCAACCGCTTCCTCAGGAGAATTCGAACCCATTGCTTGCGCCTTTGAGTTTAAAATTTGCTCCACATGCACCTGTATCATTTCTCTTCTCCGTTTGATCTTTCTAAGAAGTCCGCATCGCATTGCCCAATAAATACAGTTCCATTTTCGAAATCCTCTTACTTGGCCAGTTTCCCAAAGAGGGTGTAGCATAGCATTAGGGAGCAGGTCCCCAATTTGGGGGCAGACCACAACCTGGGAAGCCATATCTTGTACAAGGGTCAACCGTGCCAAGCGAAGAAGTTTCAAAAAGGCATCCTTGCGAGCATTCCCCACCGAACCATTAATGACAAGATAGTCCATATCATCAGAATCCATTCCAGCAGAGCAAATAACTTCTTCCCGTTCCACGAGTATCAATTTATCTGCGTAAAAAAAAGAAAATTGCCGAAGTAGTTGAAGAACAGCATCAGCGCGCTCATAGTCTAACATGAGGGCCCATGGAACGGGCGTGGAAGCAAAGTTACTCTCGGCATTCATCGCAGTGAGTACAGCTCCGTTCCTTGGTCCCCCTTTTCCCTCCAAGTCGCCGACTGTTTCGTCTAGCAAACACCTTTACCCAAAGTAGAGTGCCTATACATTAGAAATAAAACCCACAAAGACACAGGAGCCAATAGTAACAGATGAACAAATAACAACAACAGCAGCAATAAAAACCAACAACACGTAAACATTTCCCCTCATATTCCTCGCCACGAGCAAATTCAGCAGAGCCAGGTTTTCTCCCAATAGAAAAAGATAATCAACTAGAGGCCAATAAAAAAAACAAGCAAAAAACAAGATTAGATATGTAGTAATACAAAAACACACACACACATACGAAAAAAAAAAGAAGAGGCGAAAAAGCTTGACAACAACAAAGAGCTATTCAAAGGCTGATGTAATAATACACACGAGTGCCAAACCCCTCCATTGAACTCATCACGAGATCACCTCCAAAGGCTCTTGCATAGACTCGAGACATAGGTAGGCCAAAACCATAACCCGCCAGCGGTGTCACAGTGTCTCTTGTATCTACTTCCTCATCAGGATGAAGTTGGAGAATTGGTCTTCGCACCGAGGTATATGCATACGTCATTGCCATTTCACACCGAGATCGAGTCATTCCCATGCCTTCATCTGAAATACAAATACATGCATGCTTGCAGTTTTTTTTACGTTTACCAAAACTTCTACAGGAGGCATATTACCACAATCAACTATACCAGAAGGATTGCGTTCCATGTGAGAATCCACAGTCGCTCGGAACGCATTTTTCATTAACTCGAGAACGATGTAAGAAATCGTCGCGCTCATGTGGGGAAATTGCATCATATGATCTTCCTTCGAAACAATAAATTTAACATCAGGACAGTCCCCATAGTGTTCTGTACAAACTTGCTTTGCATCATCGACAGCATTGCGTACTACCTTCTCAAGATCAATTTTAAGATCCACCATTCCTGCCATATTCGCATCATTTTCATCAAAAGCAAGAAGCATTCTTGAAAGAAAATTATAATATACCATACACAAACTAAAATTGTCCATTGGTATTGTAAGGCCCAGCAAGGCCTCATCTAAAGTAAAATCAAAAGCAGCTTCTGGAGGACCCTTCTTTCTACTAAGAATATACTGCTTGTGCCGTGAAAGCAGGTCCTTCAGCTCGAGAAGGCCCATTGCCATAGTAACCAGAATGTCTCTTCGTGAATGCGCCTCCTCAATATCAGCAACGGCGCGCCGAAAATTTGCAATATTTGCCTCAGTATCTGGGAAGTCGCACTTAATGAGTTTTCTAAAGGAGTCCAAATACGTGTTTCTAACCAACAAAACGGATGGCATAGCATTTAATCCACAAGGTAACGTGTCAATGGCCGTGACGAGACGAGAAAGGAGAACCGGCAGTTCCATATGACAGAAAACATTGGAATTATAACCATCTTTTAAGCAGTGGCGCAAGACGTCTTCAAAGTTGTCCAGTCTGTTCAGGGGTCGAGAAGCATAAAATGCCACTAGTGACTGAAGTGTTTGCCTTTCTTCTATGGCACCAATCCGCTTCTTAACGTTTCGGAGTTCCCTCTGCAAGGCTGAAATTTCACTTGTACTATGACGCAAATAGGGCGCATAAAACCGCGAAGAGCTCAAGAAGCGTCTCATTGTTTTTGCCTTAATGTAGATAACAATAATTAATACTAAAGAAGCAATAATAAAAAAAATACCACGACAAAATAATGCCAAGCGCAGAATTAATAAAAAGTAGAAACAACGGCAAAAAGAAAAACGAGAATGCAGAGATGTCTGTAAGTCAGGGTGGGTCTCAGAAGAAGAACTAAAATGGGAAAACATGGGATGCAAGATGCTTCACAGAGACACTCCCCAGATAGACATATACAGGTGGCAACAAACCGGGTCGCAACCGCGGGGAATAAAAAAAAAGATTGCAACTAATATTATTTACATCAACTACACCACATGGATCAATTTTGCCGCTCGGCGGCAAAACGGGATGCCTCCTCAAGGGCTGCGTTCTTCGTCCAATGGACACACCTTGGATCATCATTGTAAACGAAGACAGCATCCTTGTCTAACTTGGCAATAGAAGCCTCAATTTCTTTAATTTCCTTCTCTAATTCAGCCCGTCGCAGGACCTGTGTATAGGTATCTTTGACAAAAGGCATCTTAATTAACTCCGTACTTTTCTCATTCAACTTTGTTCTGAGTTTCTCTATCAACTGCAACCGTTCCTTCTCGTCCAAGCGATGAACATAACGTTGCATATCCCGAATTTTCTGTTGAATGCTCATTTCCTCAATGGATTTAAGACGCATTTTTTCGTGATCAATTTCCTGTTTCACTCGATGCAAGTACGCAGGTGTCCGTCCAAAGTTATTCCGGCACGTTGGATTTTCCGGTTGATCTTTTCGCCGCTTGGGCACCATGTTACTGACCTGTATCATGTTTGAGGTGACAAAGTTTTTTCCGCCTTCACGAGGGCCTTTGGCCCAAATATCATCGTTATTATTTGCAGAATATAACCCATCATCCACAATGGCAACATGGGGTGTCAAATCCTTTTCTTTTTGTTCAACTGGAACATTTCTTGCGTCTCCCATGGAATCGGAAGTTCCCTTGTGATCGTTCCCTTTGTTATTTCCATGACCCACAACAGAATCTTCCCCAGGCTCGGTCCCGGATTTCTTGGAACCTTGAACACCAGCTCTTGCTCCGTTCATTGCATTATCTTGTCCCAGTTCGTTTGGCCCACGCAATGCCTCTCTTCCGTTAGCATCCACAACCGCATCGGAGATCGGTTCCAGACGTCCCTTCTCTTCCCCGCTACGAAGCTTTGACACACCGTGATCCAATGGAAGCTTTGTAAAAACCTTGCTTTGTTGCACTGGAGGCACGGCGTATTTGACACCTCCGCCTGCACGCAAAAAGTTCTTTGGGTCCACGGTATCATTGACTATTGAACCAAAAACGGCATCGCGTTGTTTAAAATAGCGCACGTGTGAACCATCATACTCCTTCCCCTTTTCAAAAAAAGTAGAATATGTAGGCTTTTCTCTCTCTTTTAAATGTTTTTCGTACTTCCCAGTGTAGGGCCCCGTCGTTACGGGAGGTGCTTCCTGAATTAAATTGTAGATACTCTCACCGCTCATTGATATTTGTAGATAAAGCTTCGGTGTGGTACTTGCCTAGTTAAGCAATTAAGAGAGAGAGAGAGAGAGAGAGAGAGAGAGAGAGAGAGAGAGAGAGAGAGAGAGAGAGAGAGAGAGAGAGAGAGAGAGAGAGAGAGAGAGAGAGAGAGAGAGAGAGAGAGAGAGAGAGAGAGA